AGGCCTCAAGACCTTCCAAGTTCTTCCCAGATCATCCCATGTGGGTTCCAGACCTTCTCATGGAAAGCATTCCCCCTGTGTCCTTCGTGACTATGGAAACCATCACACCTGTCTTTGCCATTAGTGGTGTCTCTATTACCTACAGGCTTCTTGGGGACAAGGGTTATATTTCATTCACCTTGGTGGTATCAGCAACTACCCTGTTATGGAATCGGCGCTCAATCAATACTTTTTGAGAGAATATGTGAAAGAAGGACTGAGCCATGCTTTAGTTTTATAGACTAGAGCAAGGATAGGACTCTGGGCTCTGCCAAGAGTATTGCTTCTGTGACGTCCCCCAAATTCAGGGCAGGATCTTATAGTGACGAGTCCTTGTGAAAGCTAGCACCAGTCTCTGCATGCCACTTTAGTTCTGTGCCCATCTTGTATTGTCTGAGAACTCTGTCCCTGTTGAAGCTTTACTTTCATTAGGGATAGGTATTTAAATGTGCTCCAGTCTATACCTGAGAAACACAGGATGGGTAGGAAGGAGGGCACAGACTAAGATAAAAGATGGTAGGTGAGTCTGGAGAGCGTGATGAAAAGCCTGTGTGGAGGGGGGATTGTGGGTGGGAGGAGGAAAGGAGATTTATGTGGCAAGTGATTCATGTTGCTGCGACAGGGTAACCGAGTCCAGCAGTGTTTTCTCTTTCTCTCCACTGTCACCAAATGTAGGATGTGGTCTGGATTCCCACAGGCAGGACTCCCACAGCAAGACAAATGCAAATGAGCAAGAAATTAAGATGAAATGTCTGTGCTGGTTAGCATCCAAATAGCAGATGCCCCAAGAAAACAGACAGATTGCAGTGAGACACTGGATCTACCTTTCTCGTAGGTGCTTCTAGATACACAGAACTTGGTGTTAACAGCTCAGCTCCCACAGGGGGCCAAAATGTGCCAACAAGGCCCTGGAGCTCTGCCAGATCCAGCAGATGCAGGGAGATGCTGGAGTGTTGGGAGAGCTCTCCCGGGCTGTGCTATGGTGTGATTTGAGTCTCACTGTCCCCTGCTTGCCTTTCTGGAGATATCCGAGCTCTCTCTGCTGCCCCTGTGGTTGAGGGCTCTGACCTCGGCACCTTGGAAATGCATGGAATCAACACTGGGATTCCTTGTGAGCAATTCCCCCTCTTCAGGTTTGCCATTTAAAGTACTTAATGGTGGGAAGGCAACTAATTACTCTCTGACCAGCCCAGTGTCCTCACCCCTTGGTGTCTAATTAACTGTGCATGTGACCCTTGACCCCTTAGTTATGTAATGGTGGAGACAAAGCATGAAAATGTGCTCCTGGTTGAGCCTCTATGCTCAGTCTTAATGCCAAGGAGCTGCCATAATCTTAGCTTGGGGGAAGAAATTCTTAATCTTTCTCCATCCTCGTGCTGACTGTGTAAGTCACCGAGCACACACATGGATCAGATGTGGACAGATCCCAAGCAAAATACCCTCTTGTCTCTTTCACCCTCATCTACCCTTTTCATTACATCAAGGAAAGTGACATGGGTATCAGGGAATGCCTGCTGTGGGCCCTGGGAGAGCACCTGGCTTTAAGTAGTGGCCAAGCATCAAACACACATCTGATGGTGTGCTTTCTTGCCTGGGGAGCTGCATCGAGCTGGTGAGTCTACCATGTGAATTGCTATTGGCCCTGCAATTTTTGAACTGACTTATCCATATTCTTGCTTGTTCCACCTCTGTTATGGACTCTTCTGCTCTCAAGAATCAGACCCTTGGGCCGCCCCTGGTGGCACAGGCGGTTGAGCACCACGCTGTGGGGCTGACCACAGCCTCTGCAGTGCAGGTTCGATCCTGGCTGGCCAGGGAGACACCTACATGGTGTGGCAGACCTCTCCTGGCTTGCCTGCTTCTCCCCTCAGCAATGTATTTCAGTCAGTCTGCCTGTTCTGTTCCCCGCTCTATCTCTGGTGAATCCTCTCACCCTCCTGCACATCTGGCCTGTACCCCGTTCTTTTTTTTTTCCAAAGATTTATTTATACAAGCACTGGGTATAGTTGAAGCTCGGGAGGGTGAGAGAATTCACCAGAGCCAGAGTGGGGAGAAGAACAGGCAGACTGACTAAATACACTGCTGAGGGGAGCAGCGGGCATGGCAGGAGAGGTCTGTCACGCCATGTGGGACCCTTGCCGGTGGCCAGGGATCAAACCAGCACTGCAGAGGCTGTGGGCAGCTTTGCAGCCCAGCACTCAACCTCTGCACCACCAGGGAGGCCCTGTACCCCGTTCCTGTAGGCATGAATAAATAAATGTTAAAAAAAATCTTAAAAAAAAAAAAAAGAATCAGACCCTTGGTCCTGCTCAGGTTGGCACCAGTTTAAATCAAAGCATTAAAAAAAAGTTTAGAAAAATAAAACAGGACATTCAAGGTGGCCTGCGGCTAGGATTTTCTGAGGGTAACTGGAGGCAGGCGGTGTGCCACAGGAAGAACCCCAAACTAGCAGTCAAAGTCCTGGCTCTACTACTCTTGGAGTAGCTGGGCACTCCTTGAGAGTTAACCTCTTCCATCCACAATGTTTGCTGTGCTCCTCAGGCAGGACTCCAGGGCTTGGCTCCTCTTGCTCTCACTGCTGTTTCTTAGCACCTGAATTGCCCACTCACTGTTCCCATGGCACGTGGTGGCTTGGCTACTTCTGCTGCCTTGGGTTGAGTCAAAACATGAGTGTGTGGTGAGCCAGACTCTAATACTTTTGACCTGGTCCTTTGGTACCCCCATCTCCCTGCAGTCTGGTTCTGGTTCTGGTTCTGTCCACATAGCACTTCATAGGGCAGGTGTATGTGGTGGCAAGAGAGGCATTCTTGCTCGGGAGGTGAATGACCCATGCATGCTTTGCCCCCTCCCATTGGCATGGAGGAACTCAGCCAAAATAGCAGTTGAGACCTGCCAGAGATGTCTGGCCAAGCTAAGGAGCTTCAGATCTCCTGGTGTCTGAGAAAACTTACTTTAGAAATAGTATGGCAGGTTTTGGGGTACAACAAATACTGGATGTCTGCCATGAAACATGAGGTTTCTGTCCTCTGCCCATAGCAGCAGGGAGGGCCTGGTGGGGCTCAGAGGTAACTGAGTCTCGCCCACTGAGCACTGGTCTCCAGGACCCTGCCTTATACCAGTCCAGGCATCTGCACACATGTCTGTTTCTCTGCTCCTCCGAACCTTCCTACTGCTTGCTTCAGTCCCATCTTTTGGCCCTGCTGCTTTCTCTTCATTCACCCTTTCCATTGTTTCTGCCATTGATCTCACTGAAAATTTTGCCCAAATTGATTAGCAAACGATGGCACATCCACACGATGACTTGTTACTTAGTGTTATGAAGAAATGAACCACCAAGGCAGGGAAAGACACTGAAGAACCTTAAAAGCATTATCGCTAAGCGAAAGAAGCCAGTCTAATAAGGTGACATTATGTGTGATTCCAACCACATGACATTGTAGAAAAGGCAAAGCTAGAGACAGTAGAAATATCAATGATTGCCAGAGGCCTGGGGGAAGTGAGGAAGGGAGGGAGGGACAGTGGGAGGGAGGGATGTATAAATAAGTAGAAGACAGGATTGTTCAGGTAGTGACACTATTCTGTAGATACTGTAATTACAGATACATGACATTAATCATCTGTCAAGACCTACAGACCTATACACCATGAAGAGCGAACCTTAATGCAACTGTAGACTTTAGTTAAAACTAAAGTATCAGTATTGATTCATCATTGTAATAAATGGACTCACTAATGCAGATGTTAGTAAGAGGACTCTGTGTGTAAAGGAGAGCAGGGGATACGGGAATGCTCTGTCCTTTCTGTGCACCTTTTTTTTTTTTCCCAGTGCCTCACCATTTTTCATAGTTTGAAATTAGAAATAACAAATGTCCATCAATAGGGAAATGAATAAAGAAATGTAGTGTTTGAAGTGAATGAACTAGATTTACTTAATGTCAACATGCACAAATATTAAAAATATAATGTGAATAAAACTTAGTAACTCAAGTTTACGTTGAATATGATACCAACTATTCAGTAACTTTAAAATGTAAACAATATGGGAAGAAAAAACCACTTACTACAAAGGCAAGGCACAGCAACACCTCTGGGCCCCATAAGGAGGTTTGTTACCAGAGCATCCATCTGGTAACTGTACTGAAAATTCACTTCCAATGCAGATGAAGACTCTGGCTTCAAAGCATCCTAGAAATCCTGGGAAGTCCAATCTCCCCAAGACCCTTCTTCCTTCTTGGAATCACATTTTATGATAAAGGCAAATGTGATTTTGTCAGTATCATTTGATTGCCATTTTGATACAGCAAGGGGTACTATAATTGGCCAAAGACGATGCCCAAATAGTTTACCAGTCACTGTCTGAGTTCTTCAACCATGTGCTCTGTGCACCTTTTTTTTGTAAACCTAAAACTGCCCCCCAAAATGAAGTCTGTTAAAATTAAAACACAAAATGAAACAACAATAAAAACTCAGCCCAAGTCACCCTGACATGGGCCTCAGTCACTCTTCACAGTTGACAGACTGGCATCTGGCCTCTCTCTGTCCCTCTGCCTTCTAGTGAGAGCCGGAGATATTCCCAATGCCTCACCAGGGCAACGTGTCCTTGACACCTGAGTCCTGGGTCCGCTTCCCCTGGCTTCCCTTCCCCGCACCTTTAGGGCCAGTCACGTGACCACACCGATCACATGACCATGCTGGTCTTTTGATGTCACTCCCATGACAGGCTCACACTTTCCCCCCAGAGATCCCCAGGGTCCAAAGTGGGCCTTGACATTGGTCTTTATGTTAACACACCATCTTTTCCCAATGCTTGTTAAATCTCAGACTGTTCCCTAAGACTTTTGTGCAAACTTTGATATCCTAATCATGCCTCCACCCCGCCCCCATACTCTATCCCAGAAGAGAAGATGAAAGGAGAGATTCAAAACTGACAAAGAAAGGTGAAAATCCCCAAAGTGTCTCACCTGTGGCCTTCCTGCCGTCTGTCACCCCACTTATACTCCAGATTGAAGCCAGCGGCATCTTTGCTATGTTTCGTAGAGCCTTGTGGTCTGGGCAACCTTCTTCCTCTGCATGTTTTACGCTGACAAGGAGAATGCTGGGACTCTAACCCGTCATTCCTTAGAAGCTGGGAAAAGGCTCAGCCCACTGTTAATAATTTATCTATGTAGTAAAGTATGGAGGATTGTTATCATTGTTCAGTTATGGGGATAAGGCAGGCAAGACGAAACCTCGCTGAAAAAAACGTGGGTACATTTTGTTTCAGCTGGTTCCAAGGGTCAGAGATTGGGGTCAGAGCTTGCTCTCATGGGTCTGTTGGGTTTGGCTGGGACTGAGAGTGGGGGAGAAGACCTAAGTTTTTTCAGGCTTTAAGCAAAAAAGTAAATGCTGATTTTGAAAAAAAAAAAAAAATACTAACAATCCTCAAATTTCCAGACAAGGAAGTCCATTAATATCTGTGAAATGCAAGCTCTGAAAAAGACCAAGAGCACGGCTCATTCTGCTATCATGTCTGACACTTCTCTATGGAGCCCACACCCCATGGAGGAGCAGACTGAGATGTCTGAGCTGGATCCTACAGGCAGGGAGGAGGCCACGAGGCTTTCTGGGAGTGACAGTAGTGTGGCAGGATGAAAGGAAAGGAAGTGAAGAGAGGAAATGAAATAGAGAAAAGGCAAAGGAAATGAAAAAAATTATAGTCTTCATTTCTTAAAGGTTCTGATTTACAAGCTGGTTGCCTTCTCGGAACTAGAGAAAAGGGGCTTATGTAAGAGCAAGCACCTTTTGGCATTGAAGGCCATCCAGGACTCTGGAAGTCTCCAAAGCCTCCTCCCTTGAGGAGAAGCACCACCTTATATCCTTGTTTCTTCTCTTCGTCCACCCAGGAGATACCAGAAGGGGAACTAGAAACCACAATAGGGGCTAACTGGGCCCAAAAGACATTTACCTTGTGCCTAGGACCCCACCCTGGCCATGAGGGTCTTGCCCTAGCCTCTCCCCTTGCTAGACTTTGCAGTAGTAATGCCAACTACTTCGCAGCCCTAGAATTTTGGCACATAATAGGTATACACCACAAATGCCTGGTGAGTGAATGGTGAAGAGTACTTGAGCTAGAGCTTCCAGAAATTGTCCATCAAACAGCCTGTGGTAACCATTCTCTGTTTGGACATCATAGCCCGTCCTCTCTGGTTGCCTGGAGAGTTATAATGCCCGGGAAAGGCTGGGGGTGGAGATGGCAGTGTGAAAGTCATAGCTTTCCTTTCCACCTTCCTGCCTCAGCTTGAGAGGACGCCCAGGGCCTCGTCAGATGTCACACCCTTAGGAGAATGTCTCCAAGTTTTCTGAAGGAGGTGTGGCAGGCTTGTGTGATGCCTTTAGCAATTCCCTGAATCCTTGAGGGAAAAACAGGAAAGAAAAGAAATCAACTGGGTTTTGCTCATTAGAGTAGAAGTGCTCAGTGTAATCTGGCTATCCATGGTTCTGGTCACCCAAAGAAGCTATTGCAATGGCACTGGGGAGAAAAGCCTTCATGTTCCTTTGAGGAGATGCCAATGACTGCCCTACTTGGAGGCTCTTACAAAATCACACTCAGAAATGTGAAACTCGTTTGGCCTTGGCCTATTTTGCCTGAAGGTAAAGGAGTCCTACACTGGGGAGAGGGTAATAGAATCAGCCAGGGAATTATAAAGAAGGCAGATATAGGACAGGGGGTAGGCAGGGGCTTCAGCAAGCAAAAGTAGAACAAAAATCTTAGCTAGTTGGACGTTTTAGAGAATTGTTTCCGCGAAAATAATCTCCCTCGTTTCTCAGGCTGCGACCTACGGATCGCTGTGTAGAAGGGAGACATGGAGGCTACGGAGTCTGTGCCTGGGAGTCTGGGCAGAGACCCAAACCCTCTGGCAGAGCACTTGCGTGTGTTCACGAATGGAGTAACTGAAGGCCAGTCAAGATCTTTCCAGAAGGAATGGGTTGGGGGAGGAACAATATCCTTCATCCTTGGGAAGAACCACTTTTCATTGACCTCAATATTTTTTTATCCAAGGTAAATCAGTTTACCAAGAACTTCGAGCATGATGAGAAACAAAAAGCCACACCAGGGAAAGGAAGAGGGTGAGATCTACTCTCCCCACGCACGTTGCTGTAGGACTTGGAGAAAATCGCACTCTTTGCAAGTGTTTGAAGTGACAATTACTTTTTTTGCTTTTCTTTTTCCTTGCTTTGAACATTAATCAGCCATAGGGTCAACTCCTCCCCTTCTGGCTGCTCCCCAGATCTAGCCAACTGCCAGACTTCCCTGTGGGAGGGTTCCCTCATTGCTCAGATATGGGAGTGACCGACTCAATTAGGGCTCGAGTGAATGATTAAGACTCAGTTGAATGTCATTCTTGCTGAGTTTGCTTCGGTGCCACCCCTCAACAATTCAGCTTCACTTGTGACCAAATTTATATTTCGGTCGTCACACCCATTTAATCTTTGAAGCTGCAGGGCTTAAGTCTGGGTGAAGGTTGAAGCCAAACCAGCTAACTTGATACCATCCCTGAAAGAGCACTCTTGAGGCCTGTGGTTGAGACTCACCCCCTTCCAGAAGCTTTCATGACCACTCTGTACTGCTCAGAGCATATATCCTTGGCCAATTTGTGGCATAAGCAAAGCCCAGAAGGCAAAGTTCAGATCCCCTTACACCCTGGATTTGCCACCTGGGATGAACACCTGAGAGCACTCTCTGGGCATGCAATGGTATGAAGTCTGGGATGGGCAAGCCCAAAGGGCAATGCTCAGCCTGGCAAGAGGGAAAACCAGCCCCTAATACTAGATACTGGCACTGTAGATGGGGGAACACTCCAGAGGGGTTGCGTTGTTGATTTATGGGTTCATTTCACTAGGAAGCCCTTTAGTCCCTCCTACAACCTTCCTTCAGCCTCCTCGTGGGTCCCCCCAAGATAGAGCAGTATTCTAGGCAATCCAGTTCTACTTCAGGAATTTTCCAAGAAGGTTGATAAATTTTACATTTCTCTTGCAGACATCTGCAGGCTCCTGAGAGTGGGAAGTCGAGAAAGCCTTGTCCCAAGGGAAAATTCCCTTGTCCTGTTCAAATGGTGCTGGCTTTGGGCCCTATCAGAGTTGTGCTTAGCAAACTCTTCTTACACATGCCAAAGTAAACAGACAGATGCTTTATTATATCATGCCCTTGACTCTATGGAACATTCCTCCAGTCTCTAGTGAAGCCATGGGGCAGGTAATGTTCAGTGGCTCCTCTGCATATTAGACGCTCATGGAAGTCTTTTTATTTCCTCAAATGGACATCAGCATTCCAACATTTTCTCTCTTCCCCTCTTCTTTCTCAAATCTAAGCATGTGAATTCCTGATGTTGGTTCCCTTGTACCTGTTACTTAGTAAACTAGTCATTGCATCTTATTTTATATTTTCTTTGCAATTACATAGGGGACATGAATTCTTAAAACAGGAAAATATTTTGACTGCTCAAACAAATATTTCTTGGGTTACCTGCATTGTTTTTATTTCTAAATTCCATCTCTTGGTCTTTCTTTCCTCCCTGCCCCTGCAATCCTACTTGCTTTGAGTAATAAAGTCAGGTCCTTGGCCAGTGTTTACAGCACCTCTGATGGAGGTGTCCTCTGCAAACTGCACACACTTGGTAGGTGACCTGTTAGTAGTATGACCATCTGCTTATGACAAGAAGTCTGAGACCTTCCCTGCAGTCAGTGGATCTGATCCCCTTGAAGTCTTTCTTCCTAAATAACAACCACCACCACCAAGATAACAGCAGCAAAGTTCAAAGGAGCAGGGCGTGTGTCTTCCACCTGTGACCCTGGCTGTACCTGCCAGGATGGGTTTCTAGCTCTCCAGGACTAGCCACAAGAAAGCAGGGTCCCTGGGTTGGAGTATTAACACACAGGGCTTCCTTTCCTCAGAAGTTGGGAAAATGCTTAGAAATGCGGTTTGGAATCCCCCAGCCTCACCAAAAGGTTACAGGGGCTCACAGAGTTCACAAGCGAATGGGCAGTTCTCATGTGTAAAGAAATACAAGAAATGCAAAGATCAGCAGACAGAATTCCATGGGGACCACATTTCCTTTCTCCCCCGGAGCCAGGCTTTGTTATTTGTGAGCATTTTCAGTTTAACATATGTGAAGGTGGGTAGGATGCAAGCTATCTGGGTGAAAGGAAGATCTGTGAGCTGTTTTCTCTGTACTTCATGGTTAGGAATAATTGCCAGTAATCTCCTGTGATTAGGTTGTGACAGAAAGGTTTTCAGGTGTCATTTTTACAACTACAAAATTACCTTAAATGAGGCAAAATTTAGGGAAATAAAAAAAAGTTTTCTAAAAATTGGAGGGGATCACACTACGTGAAATTACTAGGAAGGAGAAAGATGAATATCGAATGGTGTCACTTATATGTGGACTATAGAGAAACAAAACAAAGGGTCACTCAAAACCAAGCTAATAAGACCCTAGAAATCTGTTGGTAAAATTAAGGTTACTAGGGGTGAGGGGGGGTGTGGGAAGCAAAGTAGGATGGGGCCCATGGACTATTGTATCTGCTTTATTCCCTCTAAGTTCCAAGTTTGTACCCCAAGGCATAAAATTTCCAAAAATATATCACCACAACTAAATGGAAACCCATCTAAATGGATATAAGAGAAGTCTTTGATAAACTGTCAACAAAACAAAACAAAACATAGGGGTGGTTGACCGAGACCAATCCAGGCTGGAAGCATGGAGTGAGCTTTTCTTCCCCTCCATCAAGGTCCTCCCGAGCCCAGTGAGGGCCTGATGGATGTGGGAGAGCACTGGATGAAAGGCGGCCCTTTGGATCTGGCTGGTTTTTAAGTGACAGCAAATGGATGACATGGCAGGAAGATTGGTGAGAAGCCTACGTGCCTCTGGTCCTGGCTATTTCCCCCAGAGACTCACTTCTTCCTTCGTAATAATGCTATAACATTACTTCAGAGGAGCATTGTGAGGGCTGGAAAAAATATATTAAATGCCCCTGCCCCACAGGAGTCAACTGTTAAATGGCTGCTTGGGATAGTCAATGACCTTAGATATAAGAGCAAATTGATTCTGTCTTGGCCACAAGCTGCCCCAGGATCTTCCCTCTGAAAGCCCTGTTTGTTCCAGGAAGAGAGAAGTTTGCTAGTCATTCTCAGAATATAACACCCCTCAGGGCAGTGACTCTATCTACCTGGTTTGTTGACTGACAATTGCTTTGCCTGGCAGCCAATGAGAAGATGCACAAAAATACACTCTTTGGAAAGCACAGCAGCTTAATTTCCCTTTATGAGTTTTTACACCATAAGGAAGTGGAGATACTTTCATGAGCGCACATTCTCCAAGAAAGAAGTGCTTCTTT